TAAGGCAAATCTGGGAAAATTTGATTTGCAGAGACATTGAGCAAAATTTTATTTTTGTTTGTGAACTCTGCATAGGGTGACAAGGGCTTGGCCATCTTTCCTGCTCAGACATAAATGTGACATCTTTTCTGAATCATGGAACTAGTTAAGTTTGTAAGTGGAGGTACCAGTGTACATTTAAAAATGCAGCTAGGCATTGTGGTGCACACCCTATAATCCTAGCACTTGGGAGGCTGAGACATTGCCATGAGTTTAAGGCCACCTCAAGTATAAAGCCAGCCTGGACTGCATAGTTTTCTATGTAGACCTTGTTTCAAACAAAACAAAAAAATAAAAATGCATGGTTAGCTTGCTAATAATAATGCAAGGTCCTGGGTTTGGTTTTTCAGTGTTGGAAAAACCGAGATTGTTTAATCAGTATTTAGAGCATTGCCTTATGAAATGTGTATTTCTAGGTATTCTTTTTTTCCCCTTTTGTACAGAATGCTCATGGTGCCTTTTTATTTTGGTTTTTAAATGACTTTCATTGGGGAGCCAGGCTTATAATCTCATTGAATGTGAATGGAAAAGTGGTGTTGTTTTATGTAGCTAAATGTTGTGTTATTTATCTGAGACCTCAGTCTTACTATTTTATCTGCCCTGCCCTGATTAATTTTTTGATTAACAGAGCCAATAATGATGGATTAGAAGAATGGTTTTTGCTCTAGATAATGGAAAACAGCCATTATTTCTTAGAAGTAGCATTGTTATTGTTGGATCATGAATAAAAGTTTTGGCTACATAATAGTTAGGGTATTGTCTTAATCACTCTGCATGTTGGCAAAGATAGTACCTGACATCCACAGTCTAAAAGAGGTTATTTTGGCTCACAGTCTCATAAGTCTGTGTCCTTGCTTGGTCAGCCGGGTCCAAGTCAGAAAGGACATGGTAGAAGGATCTGCCTGGGAGAAAATCAGCTCACAATATGGAGGCCAGGAAGCAGAGAAGGAAGCAGTATAATAGTTGTCCTCCCTATATTTCTCTTGTCACTTATATTGAATTTTTTCATTTCCTGTTTTGCTTTTGCCTCCTAAGTATTTAAGGGTGCTTGTTTTCAATAGTATCTTGTTACAATTTAATTTTTTAATTTTTTAAATTTTTCTTTCTTCCTTTCTTTCTTTCCTTTCTTTCTTTTTCTTTCTTTCTTTCTCTTTCTTTCTTTCTTTCTTTCTCTTTCTCTTTCTCTTTCTCTTTCTCTTTCTCTTTCTCTTTCTCTTTCTCTTTTTCTCTTTCTCTTTCTTTCTTTCTAGGGTTTTACTGTGTAGTGTAGACTGACCTTGAATTCATTATGTAGTTCAGGCTGGCTTTAAACTTGTGATAATCTTCCTGCCTCAGCCTCCTTAGTGCTGGGATTACAGGTGTGTGCCCACTATATCTGGCCTAAAGTTAGATATTTTCTTAAGTGAGTAATTTTCTAGAACATTTTGAGAACACCATCCTGCCCTATGTATTATGCCAGTTTCTGTCATCCTCAAAGTACTTCTGTTTCTCCCTTTAAACTTTGTGTTTTTTTGAAATCTTTTATTTTTGTGGTACTAGGGGTAGAACCTCAGGGTCTTTGCACTGGGCTAGGTCTCTAGCCCTTTTTATTTTGAGACAGTCTCACTAAATTCACAAGTTGGTATTGAGCTTGCAACAGTCCTGCTTCTGTCTCAGGTATCTGGCATTACAGGTGTTCACCACTTGCTCTAGTTTACTTTATTTTTTTATTTTTTTGTTTTTTTTGGAGACAGGTCCTCACTCAGTTCAGGCTTATCTTGAATCCACAGCAGTCCTTCTGCCTAAGACTCCCATGCTGGGATTATAGGTTTGTGCCACCACTTCCAACCTACTTTGATATTTTAATTTTTTCAATTACTAAGTATGGGTTATTTGACCAAACTGACAGCTCTTGATAATGCCATGTGCAGTTTTTGAAAATCTATAAAGGTGTACATGTTTCAAAGCAATTAACCTTCTTAGGTTAATCTTACTTATGATGACTTTTTAGTTCTTGCTTGTCCATAATTCCATGCAGTAAAAGATTTCAACCATAGTTTCACTGTTTTCAGGTAATATGAATAGTTTTGTTTTCAAAAGGGTTTTTTTTTTCTAGTTGAAAGGAAGTAAATAGATTATAAATGCTGCATGAAGAAACAATGTATATGGCAGTCTTTTCAACCTGTGCACTACTGATGAGGGCTAGGGATGTGTAGCTCAGAGGTGAAGCCTTGCCTATCATATGTGAGACTGAGTTTAACCTCCATTACTCAAGAATAAATAATATTTTATCAACAATATTAATGTTTTATACTAGATAATTCTCTATTGTGACTGTCTCATGTCAGTGATAAGATGTTCACCAGTGTATTTCGCCTCTGCTTGACCTACAAAACTACCAGCAGAACAACACAGTAGTCAGAAGCTGAGCTTAATAATTTACTTATAGTTGGAGGAGTTTGCAAATGGAGGCTTTTTATCCGAGCCTAGAAGTATAAGAGTGGCATATATTTAGGTGTTGGAAGAAGAGGAAAGTGGCCAGGAATTTCAGGGTGACTTACTGCGTTTAAGTTTTGAAATCTTATCTCTTTGATAGTGCAGTTCTGGAGCAGTTTCTTTCACTAGTCTTAAAGGCTGAGGCAAGAGGATTGCTGTGAGTTTGAGGCCAGCCTGAACTACCTAGTGAGACTCTTGTCTCCAAAAAAATTTTTAGTATTTTAGCATAAATACAGAGAAATAGAGATGAGCTGGAGGATACATGATCAGAGTTGGATGCCTTGAATTGAGAAGGGTAGAGAGAGCAAAAGTGCTCTAAAGTACATGATAGGGTGTGTTAACTTTATCTAGAGAAGTAAAAGGTATTAGGAAGAACTACTGAGCTACACGTTTTTTTCTGTTACACACGATGTATCTGCTCTGCAAGCATGGGGATGATGAAGTGTTTTGTCCTTTTGAGATTGTTTTGCTATGCACTTCCGGCTGGCTTTAAATTAATTTCCTAGCCTGGGCTCAGCCTTGAACTTCTAGTGGTCCTCTTGCCCCTGCCTGTTGAGTACTGGGATTACAGGTATGGGTTATCACTCCTGGTTGATGAGGTGTTTTGTTTTGCATGTTTATAGATTGTATGGAAATTTGTGTTGGTTCTTAAGTTCGTGTAACTCTATCAAATAAATTTGGAGGTCAGATGTGTGGGGAGACTAATCAATAATTATTGCTGCTGCCACCATCATTATTGTGAAAGCTTAAAGGTGATTTTTTACTATGTAATATGTATATAATCAACTTTTGCAGATAACTTGGATACTTTTGAACTTTGAGTTGTAGATTATACTGAGTGGTAGATTGTCTCTTTGGCAGGGTTGTGTTTTGTTTGCTCTTCAGTCTCTCACCATTCTGTAGAACATGGTTACTTTTAAGTACTAAGTTTTAAAAACCAGATATGATGTTGTGCACTTGTAATCTTAACACTCAGGCTGAGGCAGAGGAAATTGGAGGATGGCTAGGAGTTTGTCTAGGCTGAGCTCCATAGTGAATTCAAGGCTAGCCTACATGGGAAAGCAAGACCTTGTCTCAGAAAATCAGAAAAAAAAAATTTACTTTTTACTGTAGTTTTACAGTTTTTATGTTTCTGTAATCCGTTGATGATTTATTATATGCTTGATGATGATGAAGTGGAGAAAAATACAGCAATGAATTTAGAATAAAAAGGACTTTTTAAAAAAAAATGTGAAAAGCCTAAAGTTGTTGCTTGATAAAAGATGAAGTAGAAATAGAAAATAGGTTTATGTACTAGTTTTAGAAAAGTATAATACTTGATAAATTGTAAATTTACTAAAATTATGTTTTCTTGTATTGGTCTTGGGTTCTTGTGTAATAAACACTCCTAATTGATATAAGCGATTTTAAAATATGGTACACTTTTTTTCCTCCCCCTTTCAGTATAATAATCATGAAATTCGTTCTGGAAAACACATTGGTGTCTGCATCTCAGTTGCCAACAATAGGCTTTTTGTGGGCTCTATTCCTAAGAGTAAAACTAAGGAACAGATTCTCGAAGAATTTAGCAAAGTAACGGGTAAGTTGGATTTATTCTGAAGAATTTGCAGCTTATTAATAATGAAGATAATAGCACATTACTGTGTTTCAAGCATTATTCTAAGCACTACATTTGTTGACTCGTTGAATATACCACTTCATGAGGTAAGTAATCTCATCTTTTGGATAAGAAAAACAAGCATAAAGGGAAAGAGCCTTGGAAAATGACTTGTTGAAAGTTATTTATCCAAAACATCTTGGTGTAATGCAGTTGGAATTTGAACTTACTTTGCAAAATCATTGTTGTGCATCCCTTATTTTGTAGTTGTGAGTTTTTATGTATTTTTCTAGGTGTTAGCTAATCTTAGTAGAGCTGTATGAATCATTTTTCTAAATATGCATGAATATTGTCATAAGCAGAGATTATATATTGGTAATGCTATATACAAGTTCTCAGGCTGCTTGTACTGTAAAACATTTGTGTCTCTGTACGGTGTTATTTGTTAGTCTTTTAGTCTTTAGGAATATTTAAAATTAGTAATATTTATTTTTTCTTTAAAAAAAAAAAGCCGTTGATACCCAAGGACAGAAAAGTACTATTTAAGAGAATTTTATTTTTGATCTATGCTGGCATTTTGAAAAAAATTACATGAAGATTTTCATTTGCCTCTGTATAATAAGGGGAAGCAGAGTAGTCCTTGGGACTACTAAAAAAACATGTTTTCTTTCATGGGAGTTTCTGGGTTGGGAAAACTTGGAATGGATAGATTAGGAAAATTATATAGACTCTGTTTGTAATGTCCTCTGGGAGAGATGACTGGTTAAGAAATAATTTTTTCTTTCATAGTGATATTTAAGTAGATCTTAGAAAAAAACCCTTTTGATCTGCTTGTTCTTGTTATTTTTTTTAATGTAATTTCCTTGGAATGGTTGCTTATTTTCAGAGGGTCTTACGGATGTCATTTTATACCACCAACCGGATGACAAGAAAAAAAACAGAGGCTTTTGTTTTCTTGAATATGAAGATCATAAAACAGCTGCCCAGGCAAGGCGTAGGCTAATGAGTGGTAAAGTCAAGGTCTGGGGAAATGTTGGAACAGTTGAATGGGCTGACCCTATAGAAGATCCTGATCCTGAAGTTATGGCAAAGGTAATGATAATTAAGTTAAAAATAATATTCAAGGAGTTGATAGAAAAGTTTGAGAGTAAAATAACTTAAAAAATGAATTATGCACATTGTTTTCAATCATTTCTGAAGGTGAGAGATGTTCCTTAAGAAATTAGTGCCAAACACTAAAATATTATTCATGGAAAGTGATTTATTCAGGGACACTTAACTATTATAATCTCATGATGAAGTAGTTAACCCACCTGCTTTAGTGATAGTTCAGTTCCAAAATGTATAGGTTCTAAGAAATTTGAGTTTTTCAGAATGGTGCCATTAGTTGACATGGTTTTAATATGAAAAGTCCTATCCTCTTTAATAGTTATAGGTGAGGTGTCAAATATAATTAGCATACTTAAATCTATAGGGAAGGGGTGAACTGCTGGGAAAACTATGGATATTGTTAAAGGATGATGGTCCTTTTAAAGGATGAATGGCCTTAAAGGACAGAATACCTGGAATTCTTTCTCTATGGCCTATAAAATTCATGGGGTTACACTTAAACAAGTTCAGATGCTATTCGAATATTTTAGGAACAGAGGATAATGTTTCTTAGATGAAAGTTTATTTGGTAAGTGTTATGAGAAGCCATCAGAATTAAGAAATATGTTTGTTTGGGGCAGGTTATTTTTCAGTGATGGTAGAGGTTGAACCCATGGCAGTGCATGTAATAGAGAAGTGCTGTGTCACTGAAGAATCTCACAAGCCACTTGACTGTATTTTAAACACTTTCTTCTAAGATTTAAAAAGCAGGCCCTAATTAATTTGGATCACATCTATTGGGCATTAACCATTCAACTGATAGAGGGCACAGCATTCACATTGTTATAAAATAATTATTTTTGATTGTATAATAATATATTAAGTACTGAATACATAGTCTACATTTTTCTTTTTAAATAGGCTGTCATAACAGGGTTTATAACTAAATTGAACAGGAAGTACAAGAGAATTTTTCAACCCAATCGAGTTATCACTCTGCTGTAGGTAGTACATTTGTTAAAATTGATGAACCAACATTGGGCACCCAAAGGCTAGTAGTTTGAATTGGCTTTACTTTTGGCCTTTTCTTAACGTGTTTTTGACAAATACATGGTGATGTGTGAGATAATCAGCTCTTCTCTTTATAGAGGAAAAATGGTTTGGTTCATGATTTCAGTCCATGGTTGCTTGGCTTCTTCGCTTCTGGGCTGCTTGTAGGTATGTGAGGCAGAGGACAGATGATTCCTAGGATGCAAAAATTGAGAAAGAGGAGGGCTCTTACTTTCTTTTTATCCTTGGCGATTACTGACATTTTAAAAATGGTCTTCATAATTTTGCCTTTTCAGAATGCCCTATAGTTGCCATTAGGATAGTACAAAGATTGTTTTTTTTTTCCTTCGTTTTTTTCTTCTTCAAAATAGCACTAGGCATTAAGGAACCTCTATGATCGGGGAGAGGTTGTGTCTTTATGATTCATCTATTTTGGTCTTTAAGATAGGGCCTCATGAAATTCAGGCTGCCCTTGAACTGTATAGTCCAGGCTGCTCTCGAACCCCTGGTGATCCTCTTGCGTTAGCCGCCAGAATCCTGGGATTACAAGTGTGCACCACCACACACAGCTCTGATTTATTTCTTTATAGTATTAAACATTCTGTACAGCTTGTTCACATATTGGAGGATATCTTACCACTTTATAGTAATTTATGAATAAGGTGGTTACAAATACCTTTGTGCCTTTTGTGTGGATGAAAAATTTGCAAGTCCTTTGGGAAAATATTAGGGCTCAACTCATTTGTATAGTAAGAATAGTTTGTATGAAACTGCCAAACTTGTAAGGAGGCCTCACCCATTTTGGACTCATCCTGACACAAAAGAAGTTTCTGTTGCTTTTCATCCTCACCTGCATTTGGTGTGTTAGTATTTTTGACTTGTGTTTTGAATAGATGTACACTGTTACCTCACTCTTGTTTTAACTTTCTAATGATAAATGCTTTATGAGCATTTTTTTCATAAGCACTTTGCTTGTTTTGTTTTGTGACGGCCTTTGCCATGTAGCTCATACTGTCAGGCTGGCTTGGAACTCACTCACTATGTAGCTCAGACTCAGTGATTCTTCTGCCTCAGTTTCCCGAGTACTGGGATTATAGGTGCACTACCAGCCCAGCCTATTTCAGGTCTCTAGCGTGGTCTGGAATTGAAAACTTGCTTTTTTGTAATTCTTTTGGTGATGGTGATTCACTGCAGGGTCGGATCTTGAAAAATTAACTCTAGGAAATGTACAGGGGATTTGTTTTCTTTTTTTGTATTGCAGGTAAAAGTATTATTTGTACGCAACCTTGCCAATACTGTAACAGAAGAGATTTTAGAAAAGGCATTTAGTCAATTTGGGAAACTGGAACGAGTGAAGAAACTAAAAGATTATGCTTTCATTCATTTTGATGAACGAGATGGTGCTGTCAAGGTAAATAAGTGGTAGAATTACCATGGGCATTTAAATTAAATTAAATAATTTTCATCACCATAGAACCAGCATGTTTAAAAATTAGAGGAAATATAGAGGTTATTAAATCCACTCGAGCAAACATTCAGTGACCTTAGTGAGTTAGCCAATTTTTTAAGTTAAAAATCTGTTGAGCTGGATCTTTATGTAAAACTTCACCAATCCTGTTTTACCTCACTGACTGAGGCTTTCTATCATGCTAGTAATGATAATAGCTTTTTAACATTTAAATGACTCAATTCTGAAAGATTTTTATATTGATTATTACCTTTTTTTAAGGCTATGGAAGAAATGAATGGCAAAGATTTGGAAGGAGAAAATATTGAAATTGTTTTTGCTAAGCCACCAGATCAAAAAAGGAAAGAAAGAAAAGCTCAGAGGCAAGCAGCAAAGAATCAAATGTGAGTAAAATCTGTACACAGATTTTTGAAAAACTTGAATACAGCTGTGTATGATAGCTCATTCCTGTAATCCCAGCACTTGGGAGGCTTGAGGCAGGTGGGTTGTTGCAAGTTTGAGACTACCTTGGGCTACAAAGTGAGTTCAAGGCCATCCTGAACTTCTGCATGAGACCTGTCTCAAAAAGACAAAACAAAAACAAAAATAAAACAAACTTGTATACATTTATAACAAGTATTGGTCAAACTTGTTAAATTCTTAGCATGTCTTTACCTTTTAAAGACTTGAAAACTTTGAATCATAGAGGAATACCAGGGATTTAAGTAAATCTTGCTATTGACCATACTTGTGAAAGTAGTTATAATTTTGAGTAGTGAATTTAGTACGTGGAAAAATCAGGTTTGGAGATATCTTGCCACATTGTACTCTGTTGTTTTAATAGTATGTGTCCATATTTTTTAATAATACTTTGTTAAAGGTAGATTTCTTCCTTAGAGTTAGAAAATAATTAAATCTCCCATTATGTTAGACTATTTTCTCTCAAAAATGAGCTCTTTCTTTAATAACAGCCTCATTCCCATTGCGTCTGAAAAGATTTCATACACCATGAATAAATTTGAAAATGAAATAAAGTTTATAATAAAGTAATAGCCAGGTGGTGGCATATTCCTATAATCCTAGCACTCAAGTGCCCAGGCAGGAGAATCATCATGAATTCAAGGCCAGCTAGGGCTATAAGAGCAACATTAAGGCCAGGACCAGCTTGCGGTATGTAGTGAGACTCTGTCTCTAGAAAAAGAATACTAAGATATTCAGCAGAGTATCAAGATAAGTGTATATGTAATGAGTTAATTGGAGAGACCTTTTAGAGAGTTCATATGAAAGGATTATCTGATCAGTAGGACAGTGAAGCAAACTTATTAGTTGGTAATTAGTTGACTTCTAATAGTGATTGCTATTTTATGTAAAAACATTTGTCAGTATAAATAATACTTAGGGACAGGTTTTCCCACCACCCTGGATAGAATGCAAAAGAAGAGGGAGGAAAATGCTTCTACTTAGCTCTGTTATTTTGTAATCAATTTAGTATCAAATCCTAGTTTTCGTATTTAGTTCTGCTTGTGGCAGGTTGCTATCAGACTAAGTCATGTAAGATCCCTTGGCTTATGATTATCAGAATGACATATTTGTTGCAGGACCAAAGAAAAGTACTTTATAGATTTGATGATGATAAGAGAGACAAACTTCAATGTTACATAGTATATCTCAAACCCCTGAGGAGACTATATGTAGTATAGTGTCCTATCTTTTTCAAAAGAGAATTACATTTATTAAAACAGCAAAGTATAAAAAGCTCAAAATACAAAGTAGCCAAGCGTAACTATAGGAAATACACGTGATTAGAACACTTATATTTGTGACTCCACACGGGATAGTATGTAGAAGGTGGAGGATCTTAGTATAATGTTAGTATTTGAAAAGAACAAGCTAGAAGGGAAGACTTGCATGTGATGCTTGTATTTGCGTCATTTGCTTCTTTTTTTTAAAATTTAAATCATAGAATATTTTTGTGCTTAATTCTTATTATGCTTATTGAGTTAGGTGCCCTGTATCCCTGCTTTAGATGAGGAAACTGAGGCATAGAGGTCAACTCACCCAGGATCAGTCACATGGTTAGTAAGTAGTAAGAGTTGGGTTTGTATCAAGGTACATTCTAGTATAGCCCTAGAGATTTCATTGTTAATCATTCATACTAGTTTCTTAGTCGCTGTACTGTTGACATTTAGAGCTGGTTGTGGAAGCTAGCAGCATCCCTAGCCTTTCCCGACAGAAACTAGTAGCAGCCTCTCGCAATGTGACAATCGTATGTCTCCAGATATTATCAGATGTCTACAGTTGTTGGGATAGAAGTGGAAAAATTATCTCTGGTAAGAATCACTGTGTGGGTTTGCTGATGGTAATTGATTATTTAGAGCCAGAAAAAAATGATCAATGATTACTGTATAATAATAAATTACCAGAATCCAATAAAGGGTTTGAAAATTTAGTGAACTAAAACAGCTTTTTTTGAGTGTGTGTGTAATATCCCTTTGTAGTACAGATTGTCCTTGAATTCATTATGTGACTTAGGCTGGCTTTGAATTCCCAGCCATGTTCCTGCTTAGTCTTCCACTAAGTGCTGGATTTACAGGTGTGTACCACCATGCCCAGTTTAAAGTAATGTTTTAACATGAATCTGTTGGAACAGAGAAGAGCTAGGTCTTTATGAATTAAGTATAAAAAATCGTTGAGTTTTTTATATGTATTTCATGGAATTATTGTGGGACTAAAATAATGCTTCTAGGTTTTAAGTAACTACGTAGAATTAATGTTTAAAGATATTTATTTCAAATATAAAATGTATGGATATGCTGATTTCTATGGATGCTGTCCAGTCATTTTTGAAACTAGAATTTAGCATTTTGTTTTAATTTTTCTTTCTCACATGCAATACTGCTGCATGTTGTTTGGATTAATAATAAGCAATAATGATAATTTAGGTGTAGCAACAAAGATTTTGTTTGGAAGGGGCTCCAGCTATGTTGAGTAGGAGGAGTTTTATTCTTAAGAGTTGATATTTCTGAAATTCAACATTCTCATGTTTATATGTGAACTGAAAAATACCAGAGAAAACAGTGTAGCTCTTAAGGACATGTTCTTCATCATTTCTTGTTACAGATGCTGTGTTGATTATGCAGTCACTTTTTGTTTTTAGATACTTACGACCTCACTCTTGCCAGACAGGCATTTATGCCACTGAGCTAAATCCCCTACCCTGCAGTGTCACTTTTACCTCTGCATTACTACAGTTGTGATAGAAATTTTGTAGAAAATTTTAGTATGTCGTTGGGGCATTTTTCTGTAATTTTTCTGCTTTGGTCACTGAACAGGTTTTGGCTGTTCATCATACTTGTCGTTTTCATTTTGTATCTTTGAGTATTAGAGACAGAATGTTAGAGGAAATGTAACAGTGACCAATGTGAATTTAACAACTTTGTAAAAATTCTGTGAGTTTTATACCTGTAAATACAAATACAATATACCAAAGTTAGGTGAAACGAAGTTTGATTGTTGTAAATGGCTAAATAACCTAATTGTTAACTCAACCAATAATGATTTAAGCAATCTAATCTTTCTTTTTAATAGGTATGATGATTACTACTATTATGGTCCACCTCATATGCCCCCTCCAACAAGAGGTCGAGGGCGTGGAGGTAGAGGTGGTTATGGATATCCTCCAGATTATTACGGATATGAAGATTATTATGATTATTATGGCTATGATTACCATAACTACCGTGGTGGA